TCCTTCACTGCGTCCAACATATCTCCAGGAAGATCGCGCGAGGCTATCAGCGCACAATGGGGCTGTCCTCGCTCGATATAATCATTGAGCTGTTGCGCAGCCTCGCGAACCCTCTTCCAGCCGTAGCTTCCCTTTGGCCTGCCTGATCCAGGGCGTGCTCCGCCGACCTTTGCAGCCGGTGCGTCCTCCGTGGATGCCGCAGCATGCCGACAGTCCCGCGGCCGCTTTTCTCGGGGAGGCGCAGCTTCGGCTTCGCCTGCACTTGCATCAGTGTGGGGAACGTTGCCGCTAGAGAAGGATGGCCGCCAGGTAGCAGCAAACCGGTCCTCGGCCGCCCAGTCGCGACCCGTGTTTCTGCCTTTCGGACACTTGATGTATGGGCTGCACCAGCGCTGTTCGGATCCATGCACGTGCGCCGTCAGTTCCACACGATACTTCTTTGGACTCTTCTCCTGACGCACACTGACCAGCTCACCACCACGTTGAGCCAAGGTTGCTAGTATGGTCGCCAAAGGCTTGTCGCGCAGCTTAAAAGCCATGGGCGTGGACCGCGAATTCTTCATGTGTGGCAGCCGTTGGGGCTGATGTGGGCGAAAAATTTGAAAATGTTGGTTCTGATTTTTTTTAAGTTCTTCTTCACCACGCTCGGCAGGCTCGGGGATGATTCCGCCGCAGTAAAATACTTCTGAAAGAGAGCTTTTCAAATCTGCAATTTTTTTCGCGGGGTTCGCCGTAGTTATCGAGATATGGCGATTCTTGTGGGATGAAGTGCCTTCTGCATTGATGGTAATGGAGCCATATCTTTCTCAAAAACGAAAACCCCGCGCTGTGGATAGTCTTATTCGATCGCTGCTGGCGAGAGCTTTCTCACGAATATTTTGGTTCCGCTCAATTCGTTGAAGAAGGTTATTTTTTTTTTTCAAAGCACCCGTATTCGGTCTCACACTTTCCGGCACTGTACCTGCCATGATGGCCGTTTTGGAGGGTTGGCTGGCTTAGTCGATCAGCTCAACCCTTGTGTCGGAACGAGACACCGATGACAAGGACATTTGATTTTCGTTATGATACAACTCAGCTGCTGTGCGTGAACGAGGAAGATTTTATCCTCTCATGCCAACTTTTGAAGCCGGCGACGACGCTGAGCTATGTCAACCACGGCATGTTTCTAGCTGGCGGCAGACTAAGCCGGCTTGCGTTCGTGTGTACGGTAAGCAAGCAGTATGATGATTGAGTCTTGTTTCTGCTTCAGGCACAAGACCACCAACTGCACATGGTTCGTGCTGTGTTCGGTCGGTTATTAACAACGAACGCCCTGCGTGCTCGGCAGCAGGGCGTGGGTGGCGTTTCGAATCGCACATCCAATGAACTGGCTATTTTCGTTTTCGCTTGCTGAATAGTGCCAGTGTAAGCACAACGTTCCGTACTCGATACGAAATCATCGTATGAAGAGTCAGCCGCTCGTTCATTCCAAGAGTGCACTGCAGTTCCATTTTTTTTTGGCTCCCACCCCGGTGTTTGCCATCGGGATTGGGTTTTCGTCGCCTGGCAACGACGTTTCTTTTTTACCTCCGTTTTTTTTTTTGGCGGTAACCATAATGGTGGTCGAGTAGATCATGTTGTGCGGGGTCGAGAACCCTCACTCCGCGCAAGGGGGATGATCGCACCACGTTGTGTTAAAATGGCCAAGCACCCTCGAGGCAGTTACACAGCAGTGATTACAACTGTCGGGAAGTGAAAGCACCAGAAAATAAATTAAGTCATACGCAGCTGTCATCCGTACGCAAGGAAGTAAGCACAAAATGCCGAACACCCTTAGCAGCATGCAGCGCACCCGTCATGCGACTCGCCGAATACCTCACGGCGCTTCGCGCTTGGTGATGTGAGAGCCTGGTCCGGTGAGACCCCGGTGTGCTCCGTCCCGGCTTTGTAGGGATGCGAGGTCAATGGTGTAACGACTACGGCGTGCACGACTATGAGTACACCCCCCCACGCCCCCAAGACTCTCATCTGGTGGATAAATGCGACATCTAGGACCAACTCCGACGTACGAAGAAAAGTCTATTATTAGTATGACATCATCGTCGGCGTAAAGCAGTCATGTAGTGTAGACTAATGTCACTAGGGGCGAACGTGGGAGCGTTGGTCGTGTCCATCCGCCCGTTCAAAAGAACCACAAAAAAACTTGGTCTTCGTCTGCTTTCAAGCGTGACCGGGCCGCCATTCAAGCAACAGTTGTTTCTGCTGTTGTTTTTGGTTGTCTTCACAACAAAACCCGTGCCGAGCACTGCGCACAACCTCCGGACACCCGTACAAATGTTTGTCCAACTGACGTGGACATCTTCCGTAGTCATCCGTGCAAAAAAATGGTATGGTACATACTTCGAAAATCAAAAGACAAGCGAGGGACCCAAAAAATCAAAGCGAAGGGGGGCTATTCAAGCGACAGGTTGATCGCCGAAACAGCCACACGTGCTCTACGTTTTGTTTATCCACAAGCTCTGTAGGGGTTGTGTTGTTTCTGCCGCCATCAACAACAGAATCGCAACATTTCCAACAGGCACAACTCGCTCAAACCTCTAACTGAACTGCGCGCACATTTGCATGCGCCACAAGAATGTGACATGTTGGATCAATTAGTTGTGGATCGGATACGAAGACCGAGACAAAGCGATAACTAGCTACTGCTGAGCAACCCTCGACCACCACGTACGGTAGGTGGGTTCAGTCGTTCATCGTGCAGGATCGCAGGCCAATCTTCGTCCTATCCACTATCTACATTTACCGGCCATAGCTACCCCCACTGACAACTGTTTGTCGAAAATGGTCTGCCGTAAGCCGTGATTGATCGTCGCTTAACAACCGACCGTCGTCGTTCGCCACACGGTCAACGGTGTTGCTGACAACGACCTCATCATAAACCACCATTCGCTCGTTCTGTCGGAGAGACCATCTATCGCCGTATCACCCAGAGCCGACGTAGAGCTTGTCGACGAGCTGCCTGGTGGCAGTTAAGGCCTCCTTTGGACTCATGACGTCGATTGGTAACCCCTAGAAGGAAAACATGAACAAAGGGCGGGGACGGGGGAGGGGGGCAGTCGTTAGATCATAGACCTCGCATCCCTTGAATGCCCGGACGGAGCGATGTGCATTGTCGCCGGTCCAGGGCGCGTGGGGGGGGGATACACGGCAGCAGCAGCATATTTGAGGGGGGGGGGGGGG